AGCTCTTCACACACACATCTATTCTGCTGTCATTACTTTTGCAGGCAATTTTACTTGTCTCTCCCACGATTTCTTTGAAGACAAGGACAGATTATCTTGTTCATCTTTGCATCCCCAAGCCATAGAGTGCCTGGCATTTACGTAGTGGTGGTTGTGTGATCACAGAGCGACATGAAAGTGCAATTTGCACTTCACCTGCAAAAATCAAATTGGATCCTGGTCCTTTTCATGTGTGACCACGTTTTTCCTTGATTTAGAAGAAATGGCTTCAGACTCAGAGAAAACTCTATTGATATCGCTGGCACATTAGCCAGGTTTTCATCTGCACTTGTGATAGAAACATCTCCCCTCCCACCCCCCCACACACACTTCGGAGAGGCTCTCAGAGCAAGCGTAGTATTAGTGGCACACGGCTATCCCACCATCTCTATTGCAGAGAAAGCGACATTACACTGGGCGCCTAAAGCTGCCACCAGGCTCAGTGAGCTGGTGATGGTGGTGGCAGCCGTGGTGGGCAGAGGGGGCATAATTAAAAGAACACACTTCCGTAGCAGACCTAAGAGGAAAGCGAGGGAGGAAGGTGAATTTAAACCTTCCTTTATTTAAAAAAAAAACAACTGTTAAAAACTCACGCAAAACAGACGCTTCCTCTGGACATGACAGCCCCGATCCACGTGTCCAGCAGTGACTTTCCCCCATGAGTGTCAGGTCCGCACCCAGCACGGAACAGAGGCCAGAGCCTTTGGGGGGCATATTCCTCCCCAAACCGGGCACACCCCAGGGCCTGCTTCTCCTTCAGGGGACTGTCCTCTCCTTCCAGCAACGACAAACCCCAGTTCCCTGGGCTGGTGTTACCCCCTCCCCCCACTCCCACCCCAGCACCAGCCCTGCCTCCTCCCACAGGGGCCCCAGCGTGACTCCGGGTCAAAAGTGCCAGCGGCTGCGGGTCAGGCCCGACCTCGGGGTCCTCGCGCTCTGCGGGGCGAGCGGAGAGGCGCAGGCCGCGCAGGCCACAGGGCTGCTGAGGCGCGGGCCTCTGCGAGACGGGGGCTCGGTGCCCCCGGGAGAGCTGTGCGAGTAGCGGTACTGCAGTCGGTTCCCCGCAGCCGCCCGCACGCAAGTCTCGGCCCCGGAGCCAACCCCGAACCCCCGTCGCCACCAGGTCCCCGCCCGGACGCAGCGCGGCCAGACGGCCCGCCGGCCAGGACTGCACGGTCCCCGCGCGGGCTGCACGCCACGGCCCCTGGTCCGGCCGCCCGCCCCCTGCTTGCCCGTGTCTACGGCAAAGTCCCGCCCCGCGCGGGCCGGCGAGGTCATCCGCCCGGCCCGGCCGTGACAGCTGGGTGCCTAAAGGGTTAAGCCGGCAGCGCGGCGGCCCGAGTGCGCCGCACGCAGCCGGAGCGCCGCGAGCCTGCCCCAGCGCGCACGCGCCCGCGCCCGCCCGCCCGTTCGTTACCTGCGGCCGCGTTCGCGCTCCTCCTCCACCTGGACGCTCTCTCCCGGGGCCGCCCCTCAGCCCGCCCCTCGGCTCGGCGCCGCGCACCCTGCTGGCTACTCGGACACTGCCCGGGGGGGAGGGGCGTTGGGCAATTAGCATGTATTAGCATACCAGGGAGTGTCACGTGGCTTCTCCAGCCAATGGTCACTCTGGAGAGGCGGGGCTTGGTCTGAACACGCCTAGGTGCTGCTCCGAGCCTGAACCGGTGGCCATGGCAACGGTTGAGGGTGCGGGGGAGTGGGGAGGCACGGACGCCGCGTGGAGCATCTACCCTACCTGACTGAGCTCCACGCGGAGACACCGCGGGCTTTTCCCATCCGTGGAAGATGAGGGACTGAGCTCAGAAAGATTCAGATTCAGCAAACACTTATTGAGCGCTCACCACGTACCTAACACTTTTCTGCACAACATGATTCTCTGGATAACCCGGTGATGTCGGAACTGTTAACCCCATTTGATAGAAAGGAAAGTGGAGGCGCAGAGAGGTTAGGTCACTCACCCAAAGTCACACAGCCACGCTAAAGGGCAATGTGGAAATCTGAGCCCATTTCTGAGTTCTGGCTCAGGACTCCCCTGAGTTATTTTCTCCAGCAGGGGTCTCCAAGCACATCCCCACCATTCCAGGTGTACCAAGCCCCTGAGAAAATCTCCATGCAAACTTTGTGCTGTGCTGTAGTGTTTCTCTACAATGACCTTTGTGATTAGTAGGCAGAAAAGTTGTGCAGGTGAGGAGAAATGAGGCTCAGAAATGATGTGACCTGCTTTAGGTCAAATAGCTACTAAGAGCTAGTGCTTAATAACTATAATTCACATATATTCAAGCTTGCTACTTTATAAACTTTTAAAATTAATCTTCTCAACATGGTGGTATTGATATGACCATTTTACAGATTAAGAAACCAAGGCTTTGGGAACTTAAGCAAATTGTCCAGTTATACAGCTAGTAAGTAGCAGATTTAGGGTTCAAATCCAGGTTTATCTGGCTCCAATGCTAGTCTCATTGCATCTCGTTGTACCAGGTTCATTTAATTTAGACTTGGAATATAGAACCCCTTCTCTAACAGGAATTTCTCTCCTCCTCTCTTAAGATGTAAATATGTTTTCTCTTAATTCAGCAAAATACCACATGACAAGTGATATGTGTTAAAGTGACAGAGGCTAACTACTAAAAAGAGAATAGTCATCCCTGCAGGTGGGTAAGGACATCTTATAATTCTCTGCCCCTTTATTTCACTTCTTAGGGATTTGATAGTTCTCTTGGAGGTAGAGTAGTTTAAAAGCATAAGCATCTGCATATGGGCTTTCCTTCTGCTCTTTTCTTTAGTTTAGCTCAGTGGTTCTCTAATTATTGGACAAGACCATATGCCTCAAACCAAATGTACTAAGATTTATAGGTATTTTAAGGGATTATCAAAGGTAATTTTGAATATATGTACATTTTAATGTACTGGGTTGATTTAAAATCCTTCTAAGCTCTGACTGTTTGGTGTTCAAGATTACAAACATGGAGGCAGAACTACTTGGGTTAAAATCCTGACTTGACTACTCACTAATGTGTGACCTTGGGCCAGTTAACTTCTCTGTGCCTCAATTTCCTCATTTGTAAAATCGGATAGGAATGGTGTGAGAATGAAATTAACATATACAAAGCATTTAACGCAAGCCCTCGCTCAGAGGTAAAACCTCCTTAACGGTTAGCTGTTATTGTCCAGGGAGCTTTCGTAGGAACAGACAACTTACAGGTACAGAATCTCTCAAGAGTTCCTAGCTGGCTTTGGAATTCTGAAGCTGCCTCCCATCCCTCGTGGCATATTAAACAGCCTGTTGTGCTGGTGAAGGCTTGTTATCTCTCTAAATGACATCCACTCTTCTTAGGATCATAAATAATTCCTGGACTCAAAGGAGTTGGTTTCCCCTGCATGTCTCCTCGCACCAAATTACCAGAGTGCCTCCTTGCAGAAGGGCATCTTGACAAACAGCGGAGCCATAATTCAGGCTCCTTGAAACACTTTTATGAGCGTCTTAATGAGGGAGATGAGCTGTCATCAGGAACTCCTCCCGTCCTTCCCGGCCACAGGAAATGAGCTCTTTGTGCTCAAAGAGTTTCCAAAGCTGAGACGCAAAGAGTTTTCAGGAAGTGGCCCGGGGATGAGAAGCTGTTGACTCAGAGACTCCCAGGGCTAAACAGCCCCTATCCTGCCATTCTCCTTATAGGGTCGAATTCCTCGTAGTCTTATTGCAGCAATTGCACCAAAGGGTGGCTTGCATGTGGGGTAGTAACCCTCTTTTCTTCCCCTATGCATACATGTCAACAGTGCCCCCCACCCCCAAGATAATGTTGTATAGAACAGTGGCTAAGAGCGTTGTCTATGGAGCCGAATAAGCAAGTGTGAATCCTGAGCAAGTGTGAATCCTGCTTCCACTACTATCTGTGACCTTGGGAAAGTTGCTTAACCTCTCTGCGTCGCAATTTCCACATCTGTGAAATGGGAATAATACAGTGTCCGTCTTATAGGCTCCTGTGAAGATAAATGAGTTGCTAACATAAAGTGCTTAGAGCACCCTATAGGAAGCACTAGATATGCATTTAAACAGACACGTAAGTCCAATACAGTGTACTTCCTATAGAGGTAACCACAGCCTTAAGAGAAATGCTTTAGGCCCCTTCCTAATCATATGCTGCTCCCAGCCCACTCTGACTTGCAAATACTGGTAAGCATTGCCCAGAAATAGGAAGAATGCATGCTTGGGAGCTCTAGTTTGAACCCTGTCTCTCACATTCCTTGTTCTGAGAGCTTGGCCAAGTTATTTTACACCCTGAACCACACTTACATTATTCGCAAAATGAGACTAGTTTCCTCCTGGAGTTGTTCTAAGCATTTCATCCGTGTCCAGCAAGAGGTGTTGAGGGCCTGAACTGGACAGAGGTCCTGTTTGATCAAAATCACCTTGCTCTTTTACTGAGCTGTTTCTGGTGAACATTAATGAAAATAACTAACATTTATTGAGCACTTACTCTGTCCCTGTGCTGAATACTAGTACATCATCTTATCTAAATACTCGAAATAAGATGAAGGCCCAGAGGGATTAGGTAACTTTTCCAAGATCACAGTGGAAGTCCGTGTCAGAGCCAGGATTTAAACCAAGACAGTCTGATTCCCAAGTCCATGCTAATTGACCCACCATGCCACAGGGCTCCAACTCCAGCTTGGTTCATAGAACTTAGGGAATGTGTGTTTTATTTCTTTAGCATTTCTCCCCCATCCATATACCCACGCTCTCCACCAGCAGCCAGCAGTGCCCAGCCCAGTAAATGCGGCACATGTATTTACTGAATGAGTGAAAGTAAAAGATTGTGATAGCCTATCAGAGTGATGAAAGCCCCCTTTTTTTCTTGGGCTGTCCCCAGTTGGGAATTAAAGCAGCTGGTCACCCTCCTCCCCACCCCCCTAGCATCCTCTTCCTGCTAAATGACCACGTGGAAGGCCTTCCTCCTTTCCCGATGGGAGAGTCAGGCTTCTTCCTTTCAGAGATCCGCAATGAGCACAGCAATGACTCAGCCTCAGTGAACATTTGGGGAGATGTCAGGGGCACTGGTGCTGTGTAGGGCACTGTTAACCTGCATCAGTGGGGTGATTTCCCAATAATGGACTTGGATAGATATGCAGTTGACCCTTCAACAATGCGGTTTGAACAGTGCCAATCCACTTTTTCCATGTGTAAGTTCAAAGGTCAACTGTATTTTCCATCCTCTGTTGGGAATCTGCACAGGCAAATGGCTGACTTACGTTATTTGTGGATTTTCAACTGTGCGGGTGATCAGTGCCCTTAACCCCCACACTGTTCAAGATTCACTTGTATTAGTTTCCTGGGGCTGCTATAACAAAATACCACAAACAGGGTGGCTTAAAACTACACAGATTTATTCTCTCATAATTCAGGGGGCCTGGAATCCAAAATCAAGGTGTCGGGAAGGTTGGTTCCTTCTTGGGGGCGCAGAGGGGGAATCTGTTCAGTGCCTCTCTCCTGGCTTCCGGTGGTTGCCAGCAGTCTTTGGCACTCCTTGGCTGTGGCAGCATCACTCTGGTCTCTGCCTCCCTCATCCCATGGCATCCTCCCTGTGTGTGTGTGTTCAGATTTCCCTCTTCTTAGAGGGACAGGAGTCCTCATAGAGTGGGGCTCACTCTAATCCAGTAGGACCTCTTCTTAACTTGAGTACATCTCCAGAGACCCTATTTCCAAATAAGATCACATCCACAAGTTCTGGAGGTTAGGACTTGAACATATCTTTCCTGGGGGGACACAATTCAACCCACAATAATATGTTTGGGGTAGAAGGGAGTGCAGAGGAGATGGAAAACGAAGCAAGGGGTTAAGAGAAAGGAGAGGTGATCCATAAGGGGCAGATCATACTTGCATAGTGGAGTGTGACCCAGGATCCCGTGGGAGTGGGACTAAACCTTTTCTTTCTGTCCAATCCCATTCTTTCCCAAAGATGTCTCCGGCTCACAGACTCACACTATCAGACCTGGGACTTCAGAGGATCATTCACTCATTCAACAAACATTTATCAAACACTCCTTGAGGAGCTGAGCATTCAAAAGGAAAAAAGAAATGGTCTGAGGAAACTGAGGCCCAGAGAGGGAAGGTAAATTGTCTAAAATGATACACCAAATGAGAATATAGGCAGAGACAAAATGGGGAATGGGATATCCCAACCCTGAGCCCTTTCGGTGCCTACCAAGAAGGCCCGGGTCTGAATCTCTGGGGCACAGACAGATCTAAGTGTTGTTGTTTTTTAAGGTGTTTGTGTCCCGAGGCTCATTACCAGCTCCCCCAACCTTCCATAGACCAGTCCAGGATTTGAGGGACTTTGGAACCTCAGACAAAGCTAGAATCATCTCCCCTCTGAAAATGCAATCCTGCAGCCTCTCTTCTCTGTGGTCCAATTCATTGGCTAATCTTTGAAGCATCTTCTTCCAGGTGCCACAGCAGCACTGGGCGTGAGGGAACTCCTCGGGGGCAAAGACAACGTCTTGTTCATGTTTTTTGCCCTTGGTGCTAACACAGAAACCGTCATGGCATCGGCTCTCCATAACCATTTGTTCAATGAATGAAAGAGTCGTTGCTCCAGTTAGTATCAAGGGCTATTTCTCACTGTTTCTAAATCCCACCTTCTGGGATGCTTGCAGAGCTGGTTTCAGATACCTGAACTCTACTCTGAAAGTCACAGGTCTTTTGACACGTCCATTTGTCACTACATTATTAGAAGAGATGTCTTGCTCCCATTATCACGGGCTGATCCCAATATTGTCCCGCCTGGAGCTGTCATCATGTGAGATATCAGCCTGGAGCAGTGAGGCTGAAAACTGGGGCAGGCTGGGGTCAGAGATGGGGTCAACCCAGCAGGAGTTGCCAGATCAGAGCAGGGGTGAGAAGGAGGTCAGATGGGAGATCAAAGTCCAGGAAGTAAGCAGGTACACAGTCCAGGCTCTCCCCAGAACTGTGGCCTGCGGCAGGACTCCCGTAGGCAAATGTCTCAGAGGCAGGTCCCCTGAGCTGGCCCTCTGCTAGCAGGTCCCCGGAGGGTTCTTTGTAATTGATCTGAGTTTGAGTTTCCTCCTCACAAAGAGGATACAATTAGTCAATATTATTTGGGAGGCCTTATGTTCACATGATCAGATCAATTTTAAAATCCTGGAAGCAGCCTTATTCTAGTCTCATGGCCCCAGGCTTACCACTATTTTTTAGACTCACAGTTTTAGGTCTAGTTCTGGCTGTGCATCAGAATCACCTGTGAAACTTGTTCCCATACAGATTCCAGGGTCCCACCCCAGAGATTCCAATTCTCTTAAGTCCGCATGGGCTGCTGATGGCAGAGGCTGTCTGGTGCAGTGGTCGAGTGTGGGGGCCTTAGAGCCAGGCTGCTTACATTTGCAATAGTTTTGCCACTAACCCAGTGAACTTGGGCAACATTTTTAACTTTTCTGTGCTTTAGTATCTTATCTATAAAAGGCAACAGTAATATTCAGTACATTGATTTGATTAGTGATTTAATACATACAAAATCTTAGAATACTAAGTGCTCAATAAATGTTACTTATCGTTATCTTTCTTTTTACCAAACCCTATAAGGGATTTAGAGGCATATTCATTCATTCATTCATTCAATAATTACCAGGTACTCCATTTCCCAGGACCCATACTTAGACACACATAGTCCTCCCAACTTCTAGTCCAGGATCATGGAGATAGGAAGTAATTGGCTCAGCTTGGGTCAGGTGCCTGCCCTGACCAATCATCTGTGGCATAGGGGTGGGGGGAGTTACTGGTGTGTTGGGCTCTTGTCCTGGCCCTGTGGATACAAGAGGGACAGGGCCATCTCTAGAACTGAGATACTGGACTGGCAGTAAAGAGAAGATATCTCCTATATGTGATTTGTCCAGTGTCACTCAGCTAGAAAATGGCATGCCAAGTCCAACGACTCCTATGTTTTTTCCATTTTGCTCCATTTCAGGATCATAAAATTGTGGTCATTATGTTAGACTCTAGCAAGCATGTCAAACTCAAAGGCTAACACGGGCCAAATAAATGAGGCACGTGGCCCGAGGGCCGTGAGTTTGACATGCTTGTGTTAGAGGGACACTAGGGGTGCAGCCCAGAGCCTCAGACTCCAATGAGCTTTGGAAGAGCTGAAGGCAGTGAGTAGAACAATGTTTCCCAATCCTGGCTTCGCTGCTAGACTGTAAGCCTGTGTGAGCCACCAAGGAATGGTGCCTTTTCCCTTTCACTAATCGGAAGTCCCCTGTGCATTTCATCATGGCACATGGCCACCTTCTTGAAACTACTTTCCCAGCCTCCTGTTTTTGCTATGGCCTCCTGTTTTAGATCTGGTCAATGGACTGTGAGTGGTGTGGGCAAGGTCTCTGCACAACCTGAAAAGGAACACCTCCTCTCTCTCCTCCTTCCTGCAGGCTAGGATGTGGACATGGTGCAGACGAGGACACCACAGAGGAGAGCAGGAGCAACAAATTGGAAAGAACCTAGACTTTTGGGCAACCTCATGGAGCTGAACTGCCTAACACCCTGGATCCACCACTTGCCTCTGCACTGTTTTCTGAGAGTGTATCTTCTTTAAGACTTTTATTTTGGAGTCTCTTTATTATGGCAGCTTCCCCTGACCACTAAGTAACGCTTAGCCCTAAGATGACCTGAGATTTGATGCATCTTGTGGATATCCTTACCACAAAACCCATCCTCCCCTTCAAGGTGTCCCAAATGAGTCTGTCTATATCATAAGCAAAAGATTATTAGTCAGCATAGGCTAGGCTATGCAGCAGAAATCACTCCTATAATCTCAGCTGCCAACACGCCAACAACAAAGGTTTATTTCTCACTCATGTTAAATGGCAGCTGCAGGTCACTTGAGGTTCTGTTCTGTCTTCACTGTCTATCTCAGACTGAAGAAGCAGCCCTTGTGTCATTCTAGAGACGGAAGGAAAAATGGTTGAACCTTGCAATGACTCCTAAAACTTCTGCTGGGTTGTGGCATAGGTCACTTATATTTACATTCCATTGGCCAAAGGAAAACAACGACCTAGGCTTGTGGTCGGCAAACTGTGGCTCGCGAGCCACATGCAGCTCTTTGGCCACTTGAGTGTGGCTCTTCCACAAAATACCACGTGCGGGCGCACATACAGTGCGATTGAAACTTCGTGGCCCATGTGCAGAAGTCAGTTTTTGGCCTGGGCGAGTCTATTTTGAAGAAGTACTGTTGATATTTGGCTCTGTTGACTAATGAGTTTGCCGACCACTGACCTAGGGGAATTTTGCTCATGACACTATTACCAAGATGAGTCCCTTTATACTCTTAATATGTCATTACCCCAAAACTTAAAAAGGAGACATTCCCAGCCTCCAAAATGGCCCCCAATGCCTCCTGAGAAGATACGCCATTCTGAACAGGGCTGACCTATGTAACCAATAGGACTGTGTGAAAATGATGGAGAGACACTTCTGAAGCCAGATCATGAGACATTGTTGCTACCTTGCTTGTCTTGGATAGTTTGCTCTGGAGGAAGCCAGCTACTCATGCAGCCCTGGGGAGAGGTGTGTGTGGTAAGGACTGAATCCTCCAACCGACAGCCAGCATTCACTTGCCGTGTATATTACTCACCCATCTGGGAAACACATTCTCTAACCCCCTCAGATAACTGCAGCCCTGGCCAACGGTTTGACCTTTTGAGACATCCCACCTCAAAACTAAGCAGTTCCTTCCTACTCAAAAATGCAAAAATCACTAAGCTGATCCCAAATTCCTGATCCACAGACACTGTGAGATAATAAACATTGATTGTCATTTTAAACCTCTAAATTTTGGGTTAATTTGTTATGTTAATAGACAACTAATAAGGAATGGTCCTATTAGCCCACCTCCCTGAATGGAAATCATATCTGCATCTAATCTTCAAGCCTATAGCTCCTAGAACAGTGATGGCGAACCCTTTGGGCTCGGCGTGTCGGCATTTTAAAAAACCCTAACTTAACTCTGGTGCTGTGTCACATATAGAAATTTTTTGATATTTGCAACCATAGTAAAACAAAGACTTATATTTTTGATATTTATTTTATATATTTAAATGCCATTTAACAAAGAAAAATCAACCAAAAAAATGAGTTCGCGTGTCACCTCTGACACGCGTGTCATAGGTTCGCCATCACTGTCCTATAACCTCCACTCAGGTGGCCACACCATTTTGCTTGGATTGAACTGTTTATGACTTCATCTCATCCTGAATATTCCTATTCTATCTGTGTGCTCCACAGCGATACAGAAAACTTTAGGGCATATCTAAATCTGTGTGTCATAAGCCTATTCCTGACACTACTATCCCAACTTCAAGAAGGTGCATCTGCCGCCACCTAGCATCACAGCACTGAGAGCTCGTATTTTGACAATAAAAGTTGGAAGCATCTTTTCCGAACATGTATGGCTACGGTGTCCACAAAGTCTGATAAACATTCCGTCTTACCATGGATAGCAAAGAACTCCCGACTTTCCTCTCCCAGCCTCCTCTGCCCTGTCTTCCATGGTTCCACAAAGGACATGGCCACCCATCCAGTGCCGGTACCAAACCTAAGCAGCATTCTTGATTTCTCTCTCCTTCTCACATGACCAACAACCTTAGACTCCACCTCCAGAGCATACTATGTATTTGTTAACTACTCATCTCCATTCCCATCAGCCAGGACATTGCAAATAGCCTCCTGACTGTAACCCCTGTTGTCTGTGTAAACATTCACATACAGGTCTTCGTGTGACGTATTTCATTTCTTCTGGGTAAACACTTAGAAGTGAGCTTGCTGAGTCACATGGTAAGTCCCTGTTTAATTTTATAAGAAACTGCCAAACTGTTTTCCATGTTGCACTCCCACCAGCAATCCACGAGCGTTCCAGTGGTTCCACATCCCCTTCAGCACTCGGGTATTGGGTTTTGCTTTTAAAGCCATTCTAGTAGGTGTGTGGCAGTCTTTTTGTTTTGTTTTGTTTTTTAATTGAGACAAACTTCACATACCGTGAAATGTACAGATCCTAGGTGTACAATTTAGTGAGTTTTGGTAAATATGTACAGCCATGTAAAACATGTTTGTTACCCTAATATATTCCCTAGGAACCCCCTTCCAGTAAGTTGCTACCCTAAAGGCGGCCACTTCTGGTTGCTATAACTATAGACAAGTCTTCCTTTTCCTTAAAACCTCTAAAGCAGCGGTTCTCAACCACTTTGGGGGTCGAACGACCCTTTCACAGGGGTTGCCTAAGACCATCCGAAAACACATATATAATTACATATTGTTTTTGTGATTAATCACTGTGCTTTAATTATGTTCAATTTGTAACAATGAAAATACATCCTGCATATTAGATATTTACATTACGATTCATAACGGCAACAAAATTATAGTTATGAAGTAGCAATGAAAATAATTTTATGGTTGGGGGTCACCACAACATGAGGAACTGTATTAAAAGGTCGCAGCATTAGGAAGGTTGAGAACCACTGCTCTAAAGGAATAGCATAGTATATACTATTCTGTGTCTGGCTGGTAGCCCTAGCCCTGGCCCTGGCCCTGGCCCTGGCCCTGGCCCTGGCCCTAGCCCTGACCCTAGCCCTGGCCCTAGCCCTCGCCCTCGCCCTGGCCCTCGCCCTGGCCCTCGCCCTAGCCCTCGCCCTAGCCCTCGCCCTAGCCCTAGCCCTAGCCCTCGCCCTCGCCCTCGCCCTCGCCCTCGCCCTCGCCCTCGCCCTCACCCTAGCCAAGAAGAGACAACAGTTCTGAAACTTAAGACAAAAATAAGATAAAGAAAATGTCCATAGACCTACATGGAGCAAAAATAATGTAACAACGGGAAAAAATTGTATTCCATTAAAACCTTCTAATGAATTAACCAATTCAACTATAGCCACTGATACATATAACTTGAAGATAATAATCAAACTCTGCAGTTGTTACCAATTACAAATGATCGCCAAGGTCAACGTATGACATTAAGCCAAGCATTTCACATTAAAAACAATAATAAAAAGAAACAAGTGACTACAGAAAAACCAAAGCAAGATGCTAACGTGCTCGAGAAACCTGTGCTTGGATCTTATCGTGGCCAAATTGTTCAATCTAAGGGTAATTCATTTAGAAAACCTGTACAAATCAAAGATGAGCATTCTGCAATAATAAAGAAACTTTCAACTCCTATCTCTAAGGCCACAAAACCTCAGCCTAGAAACACCAGCAGTGTAACAGCAAAAAGTCACAGAGCCTCAAATATGATGACAACGACTAAATTTGTGAGGGCTACATCTCAGAATGGACAACTTTTACGTCCTCCTATTAGAAGTCACCACAGTAATACTCATAATACCCAGGACTCCCTGAAACAAGGCATTGCCAATGTTACAGTTCGGAAAGGGTCTCATGAGAAAGAATTACTACAATTAAATACAGTTTTATCTAGTGTCAAAACCATTTCTTCTCAGGAAGTAAAAAGAAATAAGACAGTATCAAGAAGCATCACATCTGAAATGATAGCCAGGCCTGCTTTATCTTCTAATATCAAACAGATAGAAAAGTCAAAAACCATTGACCAGTGCAGGCATACTATAGCAAAAGCAACTATCAACAATAGAAGGGCTCAGCCCAAAGAAACCGTAGAAGAAAGAAAGTAAGTAGATGTAATTCATTAGCTAAATTTTCAAATTTGTGATTTGGTTTATAATTTAATGTATTAGAATTTTTTTTGTGTATTCTCTACTGTCATGTGTAGACAAATTTAAGCAAATTTATATTGTGGAACAGTATGACCTGAGTTATTGTGTTTGAATGTGTTTTATTAGGTTGTTTTATGTAGCATAAGTTAAAATTCTTAATGGAATTGGGAAGTATTTCATAATATCCATTTAAAAATTCATTCTTATGTCTTTGAGCATATAATTCACTTTGATATTTTTTAATATATTTTATTGATTTTTTACAGAGAGGAAGAGAGAGGGATAGAGAGTTAGAAACATCGATGAGAGAGAAACATCGATCAGCTACCTCCTGCATACCCCCCACTGGGGATGTGCCCACAACCAAGGTACATGTCCTTGACCGGAATCGAACCTGGGACCCTTCCGTCCCCAGACCGACGCTTTATCCACTGAGCCAAACCGGTCAGGGCTCACTTTGATATTTTTAAATTTTTTTCTTCATATTTGTGAACCATTTTTTGCCACTAGCGTGGAACTACTTAAAGGTTTGAAATATTTTTTAACTTTTCCTCTATTTGACATTGCTATCAGTAATATCACAGTAATGTACTGCTTATAATTATAGAGCTCGTTTGAGTGAGTGGAGAGCTAGCAAAGGAAAAATGTTGAAAAGGCCTCCTAGCTCAGTAATAACCCAGCCTGAACCTGAAGGACAGAATGAAAAACCAGTTGGGTCATTTTGGACTACCATGGCAGAAGAAGATGAACAAAGATTATTTACTGAAAGTGTAAACAAGACATTTTCTGAATGCCTAAACCTGATTAATGAGGGATGCCCCAAAGAAGAAGTATTAAACACACTGAATGACCTGATTAAAAATATTCCAGATGCCAAAAAACTTAAGTATTGGATATGCCTTGCACGTGTCGAACCACTCACAAGTTCTATTGAAAATATTATCTCAATCTTTGAGAAGGTCATTCTGGTAGGGGCTCAGCCTATTGAAGAAATGCGACATACAATTGCAGATAGTCTAACAATGAAGAGTCAAGAAAAAGTTAGATTTGGAGAAAATCTTGAGGAGGCTTGTGCAACCAAGGAAAAAATCCCAGAAGTCATCATTGAAGATATTGGTGTTAATTGAGAGTCAGGAAAACCTGAAATGGAAAATAAACATGTGGTATTTCAGGATTGTAAAAAAAGAGCAAGTACACAAAACAGAAGATCAAAGCAATGATGTTAAAACCCCCAACACAGAAACGAGGGAGGGTTGCTTAATTAAACATAATGTGTCTACTACACCATACTTGCAAAGTGTAAAAAAGAAAATGCAGTTTGATGAAATAAATTCTACATTTGAAGAGCTCAAACCATTGCAACAACAAAAAAAAATAAAGATACCTAAGAATAAACTTAACTAAGGAGGTAAAAGACCTGTACTTGGAAAACTATAGGACATTGAAAAAAGATATAGAAAAAAAAAAAATAAAGAGCTCAAGTTTCTAATACCAGTTAGACGTTCTCAGCGACTTCAAGACAAGACGTCTACATTGCCCGATATGTTCAAAGACCATTATCCTTGTGTGTCTTCATCGGAACAGTTAACAGAGTTGGGGAATGAAACTGATGCTTTTATATGCCGCCCTCATGCAGCACTGTGCCGGATGGATTTGGAGACTGAAACAACAGTGTTTCGGCCAAAAAAACTGAGGGGGGGCGGGGGGGGGGTGAGAGGATTAAGGAAAGACAGACAAGAGAATGACAGCTGGGTCTCGGTGGGACGCTGCTCCCTGGTAAGGAGACAGCACCAGCACCCACAAGCCGTGTCTTTATTTTATAGCAGATGCCACGAGGCAAAGTAGGGGCGTGATCACGTTGTTTACAGCATTCTTGTGAGTTTCAACCCTACTCAACTACATGCACCTGAACTCTAGCACAAGGCACGTGGGGTTGCGTGTTTGGACCATAGGTTCAAGCTTACAACCATAGCCGTTGGCTATAATTGCGCTGGGAGGGCCCTGCCTTCCAGCTGGGACTTGCACGTGGCAATGAGAGGCCCCTGTCCTTTCATTAGTCCGAGGCTTGAACCTGGCCAAAACACTGTAGCCGCGCCCCACACAACAGAAGAGAAATAAAGCTATGATAAGAAATGAGGATTTTATTATTCTTGGGGTATTTGTTTGTTGTGGCTTCATATGTCTTAGTTCAGGAGTTGGCTAAGTTACCTAAGTATTCATGGCAGTAAACTCTTTTATAATATTCACATAATAGATATTGCCTTCTGCTTGTCAGAAAGCTAGATCCTATATTGTCTATCTCAACAGATTAAGATTTTCTCTAAGGTAGCTAAATTTTGTCAACTAGTTTACTATGTTCTTTTAGTATAATTAATGTCATTCTATTTTCAGTGGTATTTCTAAAATAACTAATACTTAAACTTGTTTTGCAATATAAAAACTTAACTGTTAAATAATGTCCCCTGAAACATGATAGTTATATACAGTAAACAGTTCTCTTCTTCCCACACACATAAATATCATAATAAAATTATGTCTTTGAGTTGATATTTAAATAGCATTTATCCTCTACCAGGTCCATGTTTTCAAATCAGTAATTGGCCATTGTAAGAGCTTAGATGATTTTAAAACTGTAATATGAATGTGGTTGAAAATCACATGCTTGGGCTCATTTATGTTCATATATTCCATTTGTATAACAGTACCTTGCACTGTCTTCTCATGTTCTAGAGAGCAGGATTTTTATTCTTTTTGAAACTGCCTAATATGTAAACAATAAATTAACATATCTACATAAAAAAAGCCCTAGCCCTAAGCCCTGTAAGCCCTAAGCCCTAGCCCTAAGCCCTAAGCCCTAAGCCCTAAGCCCTAGCCCTAAGCCCTAGCCCTGTGATCGGCAAACTGCGGTTCTCCAGCCACATTAGGCTCTTTGGCCCCTTGAGTGTGGCTTTTCCACAAAATACCACGTGTGGGTGCACACGTACAGTGGGATTGTAACTTCGTGGCCCATGTGCAGAAGTCGGTATTTTGTGGAAGAGCCACACTTAAGGGGCAAAAGAGCCACATGTGGTTCGAGAACCGCAGTTTGCCGACCACTGCTAGCCCGAGCCCGAGCCCGAGCCCTAAGTAGAAATAACTAAGTTTCTTAGCATTTGCTGGCTGCTTTTGCTTTAGGTCAGTGGTTGGCAAACTGCGGCTCACGAGCCCATGCGGCTTTTTGGCCCCTTGAGTGTGGCTCTTCCACAAAATACCGACTTCTGCCCATGGGCCACGAATTTTCAATCGCACTGTACGTGCGCGCCCGCACATGGTATTTTGTGGTATTTTGTGGTATTTTGTGGAAGAGCCATACTCAAGGGGCCAAAGAGCCGCATGTGGCTTGTGAGCTGCAGTTTGCCGACCATGGCTTTAGGGCATAACATAGTTCATTTCACAGTTTTCCTACTTCAAAGCTTGCTTTCAAACATGTTTTACACATGTTTCTGAGGAAAATACATATTTTCACACAGTGAACCAGTATACACAAATATATACATATCTGAAACAAAATTTTACAAAAGAGTATTGACTGGCCACAACACATGACTCATGCTAACATTTCCAGTCTATTTCTTTTGTTTTTCATGCCAGTAAAAACCCACTAAATTTATTTCACAATCTGACGGGTCAGGACCCACAGTTGAAAATCTCTGTTCTAGGGTAGATGTAAAATTCTACAAATCCATGAGGACCACCCCTCAAAAGAAATAAGTTACTCTTACCTTAAACTTTCGAAGACAGAGCGAGGAGAAAAAACTGTACTTATTCGGTAGGCAGCCCGCACGGCGCCAGGAAACGTGTTTAAGTACCTAGTCTGAGCTACGTGTATAACTTCCACCTGTGCCTGCCCTGTCCTTGGTGGAAACAGAAAAGCTGTGGCCAATTTCATGATCCAGATCAGCTCTGACCAATGGAACTTCTAGTGAGAATGAAAGTGTTTGTACCTGTGCTGTTCAATACAATCACCATCAGCCTCCTGGGATTACAGTGGGGCCTTGACTTACGAGTGTCCCGACGAACGAGTTTTTTGAGATACCAGCTGTCTCTCAGCCGATTTTTTGCATTGAGTTGATAGAGTAATTTGAGTTAACGAGCTCCTTAACGAGCTCCTTAACGAGCTTGGTCTCAGAACAAATTAAACTGGTAAGTCAAGGCTCCACTGTACTGGTCATTTAAAACAGTGGTTCTCAACCTTGGCTGCACATTAGAATCACCTGGGAAGCTTGTTAAAATCCTGATTTCTGGCCTCATTCTGCTTCTTGACCGTACCTATGGCCCCTTGTCCACATTATCTGGGGAAAGAACAAGGGGAGCTGAGTACCTTTTAGATCTACATCCCTCTCCTGTCATTCCTTCGTGGGTCCCTGTCCTGGGGGGCCTAAGTCTTGTGTGGACGATAAGTGTGTCCCTGAAGACATGACATATGTGCTGAGACCAGCGGAAAGAATCTGAGTTCCTCAGAAGAGGAAGGCGAGGCAGGCGAAGACCTTCCAGGCAGAGGGGACTGCTTGGGAGAGGAGAGGTGAGGGCTCTGAGAGTAGGTTGTGTGGGGAGAATGCACGATAGGGATGGGCAGTGGGGTGACTGGGAGGAACAGGCCAGGAGCAGCTGTTCTCAAGCAAAGCACATATTTTGTATTTTCCCAGACAACTTCCCAGGACCAAGTGAGATCCAAGGCCCTTTCTAGAGGCCCCTCAAGTGCATTCACTGAGGCCCTCAGGGGCCACATCTCGCCGCATGTCTTCATGGAAGTCCCCCGGGGTGTAAATGGCTCCCTCATGCTTCCTCATCCAATGCTGTGCTACTGTCCTCTCACGGGTTGGAAAATTAAAGCTTGACTTCTCTGAACCTTCATCTCCTCACCTCTGAACGGAGGGAACAACGCTCACCTCTCCGAGTGCCCAAGAGCATTTATGTCCATTGTCTGGTGGTAGCAGGAACTCATCCATGGTCATTTCTTTGTGGCCTGGGTTGAGGACTAGGAAGTGGTAAGAAATCAAACCCAGGCGCCCTGCCCATTAGCTCACACATGTTCAGGGGCATCACTCAACTGCCAGGCACACCCAGCAGACAAAGGACACCTCGTAAGCCCAGCTGAGCTGCCACCATGTTTACAATGTGAAGTTGGGAGGTATATGTCCCTCACCCTTCAACAGCCACCTACTTCAACAAACTCTGGCCCTGCCAGAAGGGATTCCCTACCCAACCCCCACACTCCGCCTACAGGAGCAGAGAGGGGAATCCGCCCAACTGGCAAGTCCAGGGAAAAAGATTACCCCAAGGGAGGCCTCAGCCATGAAATAAATTGGGAGGGGAAACTAATGACAAGTGACACTAAAAAAAAAAAAAAGTTTTTTAAAGATGTTTTTACTTGTCTTAAAAAATAAATTACAAAGGCAAATCAGATAAGCAAAGAATGCATGGTCTGCGAGGGAGAAAAGTAGGACGTTGAGTTAGAAAAGGGAAGGGGCTGATCGAACACCACTTTGAAAATAGAGACGCTTCTAAATCAATGGGCCCTAAGGACGTGTTTCCTGAGATACTTGTAGCCAAACATACTCCTTTCACTGAGAATCAACTTACGACTGGAACCTTAAAACCTGACTTACTGTTTGCTCTGCAAAAACCTGACTTATTGTTTCCTCTGCAAAAACTTCGTGCCTGGTTCCAGGGTCTATTGGCCGCATTCTGCCTCCCAGGAAGAGGAGGTGACATGCATGGGCCCAAGTTGTGCCCCACTTCCGTGCCCACCTCGACATAGAGTTTGAAAAAGCAAGTTGCCCAAGATACAGTGCAGGTAAGGCAGCTACACAATGACTCAGGCTCTGAACTGTGTTTTTCTTCAACGTATGTCTGATCCATCCTACACACAGCATTCACAGGTATTTGTTCACGAAGGCGATCACACTACGTCCCTGCTTCCGTGACTTCCCAGGCCACCCAAGAGGAAAGCCACACTCTACCGGGTGCTGCGAGGCCCTGCCCGGTCTGTCTCCGAGCCACCTCACCTCACTCATGTTGTGTCACTCTTCACCGTGACTAGGCCGCAGCCATATTTGCTTTCTGTCAGTCTGTAAGTGACATTCTCTTCTGTGGCACCAGCTCACTGTCTATGCAGAGGTTACTCCCTCTGCCTGGGTTCTCTTCCCTTGACTCTGCCTAGTGGTGCACAGGCCAAATCTCAGCATCACTGTCTCTTTTTAAAGAGTTCTTCCCTATGTCCCGATCCAAATTAGGTCCACCCCTACTATACGCACACAATAGTTCAGCCTTCTCCTGTTGACACATTAAAATGTATGGAGTGCCCAGCCGGCGTGGCTCAGTGATTGAGGGTCAACCTGTGAACCAGGAGGTCACAGCTCAATTCCCGCTCAGGGCACATACTCAGTCCCCAGTGTGGGTTGTGCAGGAGGCAGCCGATCAGTGATTCTCTCTCATCATTGATGTTTCTATCCCTCTCTCCCTCTCCCTTCCTCTCTGAAATTAATAAAAATACATATTTTTTTTAAAAAATGTGTGGAGTTGTTTAATGTCTATTAGATGGGGGCATTGACCACATCTATTTTATGTGCATTGTATACCAAGAATGTAGCATCGCTCCTGGCTCAGCACAGTGAGTGACAAGGGTTTGGAGAATCAATGAATGGCTGGCCTGAAGAGAGCTACCAGATTATTTACTGCAACAGCCGGAGCTGAAAGAGTAAAGGTAACTTCTGATCAAAATCGCCTCACAATGAGATAGCAGATTATTAAAGGTACCTAAGACCAATTGAATTAGAGGCAAATGGTAGGTTAGCAGAGTATCTTCTCCTTCTGGCCAAGGAACTGAGTTAAGGGGCCACTGGCTTGAAAAGCGAGGAAGAACTTTGAGAAAAATAAGGTTAACTTTTCAAAACAAGGGAGCCTCCAATCAGAAGTCTCCTGGGGAAGCTGGCCACTCAGATACCTAGTCATACAGTCACGTGTGGAAACGCAGAATTTAAAGTGGACGCTTGAAAGGGAAGCAACTGGACCTGCAGCCCCTTGCTCACATGGTGGAGTGTTTTTCAGTGTTATCTCGAGAAGCGCAGCTGTTTCCATAGCTCAAGGCATCTTCCAGTCATTCCTTTGGTTTTCTACTGATTATCAGATATTCTCCTAAAGGCATTGCATGTCAAGCCATGGCCATTTACGAAAGCCAGGACACTTCCAGGGAAGAGTAGACCGAGAAACCCATGACTCAGGTCTGTCTCCCTCCCCTGAACCAGCACTGGCAGCGTCTTCAAGGCAGAAACTGGATGCTGCGTATCCTGTTTCCCTGGAGCCCAGAGCAGTGCTGAGCACAGAGCTAATGAGCCACCAAGGTATTGAATGTACACATGAGCAATGGATGGATGAGAGTGTGTAACCTCGCCAAGCCTCGGTTTCCTTATTGCCAAGTGATTCGTGGAGTTTTCTTTTCACTAAAATGAAGTTGTCCCTCCAGGCATTCATTTAAGAAGATGCTGTGCTTTTAACCAGACACACCTGTGCTCAGAACCTATGGGGACATTCCTTACAATCACCAGAGCCCGGCTCTCTCTCTTTTTTTCTTTTTAATCCTCACCTGAGGATATTTTTCCATTGATTTTTGGCTCAGTGGATAGAGCGTTGGCCTGCGGACTGAAAGGTCCCAGGTTCGATTCCAGTCAAGAGCATGTACTCTAGGAGAGTCTTTCTAATTACCTTTTCCTGTCTGTGCGAGGTACTCTCCCCTGGGGCCCAGTGCTATCCTGTGCTTATCTCTGTCATGGTTCTAGTCATATTGGATGGAAATAATCACTCTGATCCTCTTTTCTAATTAGATTGTGGACTCCTCAAGGACAGGAAGGTCTCTTACTCATTTATTTAAAATATATTTTTTATTGATTTCAGAGAGGAAGGGAGAGAGAGATAAGAAACATCAGTGATGAGAATCATTGATTGGCTGCCTCCTGCATACCCTCTACTGGGGATCGAGCCTGCAACCCAGGCATGTGGGTTTCACTCCCCTATCTACTCTTAAGCACCTTTAATATTTTAAATATATTTTTTTCTTATTCAAATATAAGAGAAGTTGGCCCTGGCTGGTGTGGCTCAGTTGGTTGGGAATCATCCCATGCACCTAAAGGTTGATGGTTCAATTCCCTGTCAGGGCACATGCTCCTGTTGCGGGTTCAACACCTGGTTGGGGGTGTGCAGGAGGCAGTTGATCGATGTTTCACTCCCACATCAATGTCTCTCTCTCTCTCTCTCTCTCTCTCTCTCTCTCTCTCTTTCTTTCTCCCTTTCATGCTAAAAATCAATAAAATATCGTGTGTTTTTTTAAAAAAGAGAAGTTGCAAAAACTTTAGCTCAAGCATCCCTAACATGAGAGCATCCCTAACATGAGTTTCAGGGAGTGCTAGTTCTGCAAGTTGCCTTGGGATAAAAGTTTACAGTTCAAGTTTGGGAAGCCCGAATTTCTTTAACCCCTCTTGAAGAGCCATGATCAACATTAGCATATTAAAACTCTTAAATTCCTGTAACAAAGAAAACATGTTTAACTACAGTTAAATGAAGATTTTCCAAATTTATTTTATCATATATTTTAGTTTTTCTCTCAAAGGTGACCTAAGATAAGGACTTGAGTACAGTTAGTTTGTTGAGAGAAAATTTCAGAAAACAAAAGTGAGGGGATGGGAAAAGTGAGGCAAGTTAGGAAAGAAAGACAATCAGAGGTATTAATGAACTCATTACCACTACAAACAATCGGGATTTAGTTTTGCTAAGAACTCTCTAAAGATTCATGTAGAACGCACCACAGAGTTGTCGAGCTTAGGATAGGAAAGATTCCGCATTCATCCACTGACTCACATCCCTTATTGTTTGGGAGTTGCTCTAAGGCAGTGGTCGGCAAACTGCGGCTCGTGAGCCACATGCGGCTCTTTGGCCCCTTGAGTGTGGCTCTTCCACAAAATACCGCGTGCGAGCAAGCACGTACAGTGCGATTGAAACTTCGTGGCCCATGCGCAGAAGTCAGTTTTCGGCCTGGGCGAGTTTATTTTGAAGTGGTGTTAGAAGAAGTGGTGGGTGTCGGTCGGTCGGTAGGGCAACAGGAGACGCAGCGCAGGTGGGCCTCGGGATATGCAGCGCCGGGGGAGGTACATTGTTCTGAGGTACATTTGTTGAGGTCGACCCCTTCCAACTCTCCCATCCACACTCATCTATTTGAAACAAGTATACGAGATGAGTGTGGATGAGAGTTGGAAGAGGTCGACCTCAGCGAACGTACCTCATTCAGATTG